AAGATTCAGGCTTGGGCCTCTCTACTCATGTACCCTAACATTCATACCTAAAGTCAGGATTGTTTTTAAAAACACTTAGCAATACTGTCCCTGCTGCAAACATAACAAAAAGATGCTCTTAACCCGAAGAACTTCGAAAGCTGACTGACAGGTCTGCGTCTCTCTTTTCAGATGACCTGGTTCCCCATGAGAACATGCCAGGCCAACATGCGAAAAGATGCGCACCCAGGACCTGAAAAAACAGGTCAATGCTTTCTACCCTGAATTTTCTTCTTTCCCTCCAAATGAAGTTTTTTGTGTCTTTGTCTAGAATCTTTCCCTGTAAGAAGAAAGCTGTTCAGGAGTAAGAAAGTCACTTATCTTCTCGGGAGGCTGAGTGACTTGCCCAAGGCTGAAAGAGGGCAGGTGGAAACCCCCCCAAGTTTGCATCTAAAGACCTAACCCAAAGTTCTCCATACTTAAAGATCTCTGTCCACAGTTATTTTGCTGAACTATTTGTAAGCGGCAGGCCTTGTAAGCATCCGGAAGAAGTGTCTACACAACCATGTCCATACCCAGAAATGCCATCCTGAGGCAAAGTGTATTTCTGAAAATACACTTATAGTTGTTGTTCTTTTGATCCAGGAACCATTAAAGAGTTAGGATTGCTTTAGTTGTCCTGTCTTTATTCTGCTTTAATCTAGAACCTCCCCCCTTCTATGAACTTCAGCAACACTAATATAAGAGTTCAGTCCGTAATCTCACAGCTTATAAACATGGCTAAAAATAACAATTATAATCACCAAAAAAGGAGGCTACAATACTACATTTTATCTGACTCCAGTAGCCTCAAATATTCCCACTGCCAGTGGAATTCAAGATTCCTCTCAACTTAGATCCACATGTGCAATCACGAGGATGACTGCAGCCAAACACAAATGTTCTGATGGATGTTTTCATCCAAAAGTCCCAACAGAGTATCTGCGATTCAATAAATTCATGCTCATTAAAAGACAAATGCAGAAAAATATATCAAAGGGACAACCTGCCCCATTATGTAGTGACCACCTCTTCCCACCTGACTTTCCTTGCAGCAGGACAGTTTATATATATATAAACTTATATTTGTATCTTTAATATAAAAAGATACAAATTTAAGTTTGTAAACCCTGTCCATGATGTTCAACAGTTGGACACAATGACTATGGATGGACATTCAGGTTGTTTCCAATTTTTTGTAAGAGTCATTACTCTCAAGTTGCAGTCCAGGCTACATGTAAACCAGTAATATTGCTAGTCAATACCTTTGGAAGGGTCTAGAAAGACAAGACTAATGGGGCCATGGAGAGCTGACAATTCAAGCCTCTCTTTAAAGACAACGCTACATTGCCCCTAACAGGGAGTGCTGATCCTATGACTAATACACCTCAGATACTGAGTGTTATCTTCACCCACTCACTAAGAAGGTTCTTAGTTACCCCTAACAACTGTTCCCTGCTGGGAGGAGAGGAACTGGGCTCTTTCCCTACTTTCTGATCAGGGCTCTAGTCCCTGCCACCTACCTGCCTCATGTCCGAAGGGACTTAAAAGACCGACAGCTTTTCGGGTCTGCAATTTCCACAGTCTGAGAGCAAGGAAGAATCCGTTGGGCATTTGGTCAGCTCCCGCCCTTCTGTACCATCTGGCAAGCAGGGGCTTTGTCTTCCTCCTCAGCCTCCGAGTTTTCCCAGCTTTCTGATTCCTCTTTTAAGTCTGCAACACAAACCGCAAGAACAGCAATGAACATGCTGCTCCTCAGATTCTCCATTCCTGCATCCAACAGTCTCAGGTGACTTCAGCACAAGGCTTCTTGCAGTTAAACTGACTAATCGGTCATTGCTTCCTGCTTTGGGCAGCTGCCTACATTACATGTTGCCCTTGGAGCCCTGGGGCAGGCAGAAAGGGTGATAGTAGGGCTCATGCAGCATTGTAAAGCATGAAGCTGTGAGCTATTCACCACTGGTGGGAAAATTAAACCAATGATGAGAATGCTGACAGCTGTTATTTATTGCACAGTCCTCAGCAGACACTTTTCTGAGGACCAGGCCCCAAACACATTTTTTATTTAATCCTGTCATGTCCTGAAGTCTATACAATTTTACAAATAGAGCAATATTGATTTCAAACAATCTTTTGTGACTACCCTCACAAATGAGGCCATCTTTGTTCCATATCACAAATGAGGCCTACAGGGAAGGGGCTGTAACTGTGTAAAACATGACACATAAGAGCTAGGATCTGAAGTGAGGTCTGACTTCAAAGCATGTGCCCAGACCTCTCTGTGCACCCTCTTCCTAATCAAGACACGTCCCACCGTGACACACAAGCCCCGCATGCTGCATTTCTTGCTCTACTGAACGTTGATATACTTGGCTCTCTGAAAATAAATCTTACCAACAGGTGACCCTGGCCATCTTCACTAGCCTAGAAATGTGTGGATCACTACAAACAATTAGAAGTTCTAGAGTTGACCCATCTGTGAGAATGTGAGGCCAGGTTGCAAGACATGGGGAGGTGATCATGAACCCAGGGAGAGCTGTCCAGATAGCAGCAAGGTTTAGGAATCACTACCCTTGGTGGAAACATAGGGTCCAACTGAAGCATATCATTTTCCTGTTTAGGGGGAAAAAGTGAAATACTATCTAGAAAGAAAAAAATCAGCTGTCATAAAGTAGGGATAAGAAAACTTAACAATTCATCCTGTCCACAGACTGACAGGCCGTAAGAATGGATCTTCCCAACCTTCTGAGGAAACAGACAGAAATCATGACCAAGGTTAAAGGGCAAACATTTGCTGACGTGCCTCTTGGGCTTAGTCACCCTTGGGCCCCATCATTAGCCCTTTCTGCCAGCATGGCGGAGGCCTCCAGCAGTCACGGCAGCAAAGTTCCAGTACAAGCACCTCCCAATTCACCTGCAAGCTTTTCCATCTGGACCAGGGTGTCCTCTGTGGGGCGCGCCCTCCAGGAGCTTCTCCGTCAGCCGACTGCCGCATGCCTTTAGGAGCCTAGAGAACAAAGTCACGTATGAATTTTTCTTGGCAAATGAAAATCTGAAGTATAGCCAATCAAGTCTCTAGATCTTACCATCAGTTTACAGAAAATGGGGTATAAAAGAACATGTGAACACCACAGGGCTACAATCAGCCAGATCCAAAAGGGAAACACAAGACAAATGACCCAAGTCTTCCAATAAAAGGGATGGAAAAAACTTGAGGGGGTGGGGGGGTGGTTGTATAGCAGGAAGCACTGAAGACTAAGAATGTAGAACAATCCACACATTGTGTGGTGCTGTTGTGACCCCAATTCAAAAGTCATCTCTAAGGCAAGACAAAAAATTTAACATAGACGGACAACACTAAGGAATGAAGTCAATTTTGTTGGATAACGGCTTTATGGCTGAAACAGTACAACTAACATTTGCTTTAAAAAATACTCCAGGATGAAAACAAAGAAAGGCATCAGATGAAAAGTAATAAAATGCTGTTAACTACGACAGGTGAGTCAACAGGACATGGAGCTACTTATTCTACTTTGGGCCTGCTTGAAAATTCCCTGATAAAGGGATTTTAAAAGACAGGAGGAAAGGTCTACAGGTGGGGCAACCTCTTCGTGCACAGGTTCTCAGAAGCTATACTCAAGCCTCTGCTCCTCAGGAGCCTCACCCATACCAGGACCTGACCTGGACAAGACCTAGATTTCAAGCTGATGCTGCCTGAAAATGTGGGCGGGACTTTGGAAGGAGTATACCCTGTAATGGGAAGAAGAGAAACAATTTGTGTCCAAAGGACAGATTATGGTGGTTTCAAGTATGTTCACAAATTCACTGCCACAATGATTCTTTCAAAAGATGAAGCCTACTCCTCTCCTGATGGGGCTGGGCCAAGTGACAGCACATTTGTAACAAGCAAAAGTGTTGGATGTGACAATGAGTGATGCTAGGCCATTTGTGAGACCTAACCGATCTTCCTCCGTCTTTCTCCATCACTCACTCTGGGGCAGTCAGGGTGCATGTCTTCACTGTAAGGGGCGTCCTGCCCACAGCACCAACTTGCCGGCCCCTATCAGAGTCAAGCTTTCAGATGACTGGCTGAGGAGAAACTCCTGAAAACTGGGACCACCCACCTAAGCCACCTTCTAACTGCAGACCCATAGAAGCTTTGTAGAATAAATTTTCCTGTTGTTAAAAAAAAAAAAAGAGGGGGAGGGGCCTCCCTGGTGGCACAAGGGCTTAAGATGCAACCTATGAAGCAATCCGCAGCCACTGCAGCACAAGTTCAATCCCCGGCCAAGGAGCTGCCCACATGGCGCAGCAGACCTGTCTCTCTCTCTCTCCTGTCTCACCCATTGCTCCCCTCACCGGTGTACTTCAGTCAATCTGCCTGTTCTGTTCCCCACTCTGTCTCTGGTGAATCCTCCACACCACCACCACCCCCACACCTCTGGCCTATACCCCAGCTCTTGTATGCATATATAAATAAATCTTAAAAAAAAAAAAAGAGGGGAAGAAGATCACTGCTGTGGTATAAGAACATCACTTCAAAAAGATTGATGGGAAGTGAGTTCCAGCTGAACAGCTTTCTACATCTCAGTCAAGACACGGGGAAAGGCAGCACACCAGCACAGCCAGTGCTCACCTCCATCACACACAGGGCCTCATCCAAGGACAACTTTCCCCAAGTCCATGCACAAATCCCACTGACACACTGGGACCGTTCTTATTGCTAAAAGACCCAAGAATCTCATTACCAAGCAAAGGAAGTGTGAAGACATGCCCACAAATTGTCATCGCTTGTCAAGGACGTCAGCGAACGGGCGGCATTACCATTCCTTTGATGCAGGAATGGCGTGAAAGCCGTGTTCATCCGCTGGGCGCGCTGTGGGCAGCCGAACTGCTCTGCTTCAAACACCTGAAATGCAGCGGAAAGGGGTGGCTCTTTAACAAAGGCAACCAACCAGCCACGCAGTCCAGATCCGGCTTGTTCACAGCCAGCTGCACAAATCTACTCCCCAAGACTGTCCCCTTCTGCTCTCCTGACCAGCACAGAGGTACCACCTGCCTCAGAATTTCAACAGAATGGCTTTGCTTCCCCGGCCAGAGAAGCCACCTGAGAAGAGGAATCAGTTAAGAATTTCTTCTGGGCCCTCTGCCACAACTCATTGGGCAATTGATGCACTCTGGTGCCCATGTGCCCAAAGTGGTGAGAGCCCGTCCCCCACTATCTCCAGCCCTACCCCTTCCTAGCACAGGGAGGACCTCATCACTTCTCAGACTCTACGTCATGGGCAGTTCTGGCAATGAGGTGAGACAAACAAGGCCCTCCAGTACCCTGTATGCCCTCTAGCTGGGCAAATGAGCATCCAGTATGGGTACTGCTCTAAGAAGAGTTCAAGAAGCAGATCCCTCACTTCCTCACAAGGGACACAGTGTGAATAAGAAATAACTTTGTGCTTTGAAACTGCTAATATTTGAGGGCTGTTTGTTACCAGAGCATACCCTGACCTCTCCTGAGATGCAATGCCATAGCTGCAGATCTCCATTAGGTGGTAGGTCTGCAACACGACGACTGGACAGACTCCTGACACCAGGGATGAAACAAGGGCTTCTGCCTACAGCAAAGAATCCGGAGCATCTTTGAACAAGAAACCAGGGCCACAAGGACACAGGGGAGACCTGTATAACAAGCAGGACTGATGAACTGTGAGGCCTAGTGCCATGACCCCAACTCTGAAGCCAGAAGACTGAAATTCAGGCAAAGCAGTGGCCACAGGACAAGGAGGTAGCAAAGCAGTGGCCACAGGACCAGGAGGTAATAAAACTGCCCAGGTTCTTACCCTCTCCTAGTGTATAGCACCCCGCCCCCCCAACACTGCCACTTGCTCCCCCTTGACTTGGGGTCACCTTGAGAGCCTTGCCCTGGAGCTCATCAATGATTCCTCGGATCTTCCCCAACAGGAAAGGCCAGGAGTTGATGAGGTATATCCGGTCCATCATGATGGCGATGATGCTGTACCAGCGCTGGAAGCCCCTGGCCAGGCTGTCTTTGATGAAGAAGGTGTGACTGAACACAAAGCCATGCTGCTCATCCCAAAGAAGATGGGGCCTTCGCGGCCAGGGCAGACCTGGGACACAACAACAGCCTCTCAGGGACACAGTCCCTCCTTGTTTCGGTAACATCCTTCTCAGACTTATCATTCTGTACCAATTAGCCAATTAATTATAGGAGCAGAGAGAAACTTTCTAAAGATAACATTTGTTATCATGGAATGCAAGGGCCAATAAAGTAGGATTATTACATTTTTCCACCCTTAGCCACAAATAACTCCCATACAAATGCTGCATCTATCCCAGACTCAAATTTGCCCACATCACTCATCTGGGATATGCTGGAGAATTAAAGAGCCCAAATGGCCACTGCAGAGTTCATATAATCAAGCCTGTATTCTTGATTGGTAGGCGAGAACTCAGGTCTCCCTTATGAACCTTCATTGTAACCTTACACACTATTCTGTCAACATGATCACCCGCTTTTTAGCAGATTACCAGCAGGAGGTCAAAATGGGGGTGGGGAGCAAGGAAGTCACTGAGCACAACAGCAAGGAGCTCAGCGTGGAACCAATGGGCATAGTGATGGCAACTTCTAGTAACTGGATGAGGAATTCTTTGTGACAGTGGGTAATGTGTAAGCTAAGACATGAACTACACAAGAGCAGCCCTGCAGTTTAAGAACAAATTGATTCACTCTTCCATAGGTTCTGAGAGTTCACACAGTAACAACTGAGGCAATAACAACTGAAACAATAAAAAGATGAGGTTTGACACGGTAAACTTGCATATCCTAGATATAGTTCTTATGTTAGAAACATGTCAATCGAGAATGGACAAATTGGGGGCCTCCCTGGTGGCACAAAGGGTTGAGTCTCAGCACTATGAAGCAATCTGCAGCCACTGCAGCACGAGTGCGATCCCTGGCCAGGGAGCTGACCCACATGGCGCTGCAGACCTCTCCTGTCTCGCCTGCTGCTCCCCTCAGCAGTGCATTTCAGTCAATGCGCCTGTTCTGCTCCCTACTCTGTCTCTGGTGAATCCTTTCATTCCCTGCACCTCTGGCCTATACCCCAGCTCTTTATACATAAATAAATAAATCTTTAAAAAAAAGAATGTAAAATTGACCAAAGTTTAGTGCTTTAAATGATAAGCTTGCAACCACACAAAAAACAAGGAGCTAAAAGCAGCTTGTTCTGGAGAACTGGCTGCTATCCTGCTGCACCAATCCATCTGTCTCTTTGTGACAGAAGTGACTTTTGTCTTTCTCTTCATGACCAGCTGGATTTGTTCAGGCAGCATGGAGCATGTGCAAGATTCCTGCAGAAACGTCCCTGCCCCTCTGCCCCAGGGTCACAGATGCTTACCTCACAGCTCAGGCTCCTGACACAGGCCTGGCGAACAATGCTGAAGAGCTGGGGGTGGTTGGGGTGCTGGTGACTAACGTATTTAATCGAGGTCTCCTTATCGTGGCTGATATACCCTGGATGCCCTGCAGCAAGTGACCGGCAGCCCTGCTCCCGAGAAGGACAAGAAAACCAGTCAGTCAGGAAGCAGGCACAAACTTTCTTACTCTTAGGCAAATCTGAGTTAGAAAACTCAAACTATTTTCATACAAAAATAGCTGACTTCTAGATTACCCTTATCTCAAGATTTCAATGTCTGCTGACTAGGGAAACCAGGACAGAGATCACAGAAGTTGTCAGAGGGTATGAATGACAGACACAATCTACTGCACTGAAGGAAAGCCCTGCATTCATCTTCACATAATCCAAGGAGTAACCCTCTGAGAAAATTACAGTGAGACTCCCCATTTCACAGGAGGCTAAACGCCGAGAATTAGGAAGCAGCATGCATGGCATTCTGTGTTGGTCTCTATCATGGTCCCGACACAACCATGGGGCAGGGGCTTCAGAGGCTGCCGAGACCTCAGGGTTGCTGCAGCAACCTGAAAAGGCAAGTTCAGGCCTCCTGTTGCAGGGGTCACTGCACTGGTGGCCCCAGCTGCTGCCTCTCTGTAGTTGTCCCCAGCAGACTGAGCAAGCAGGCACATAGGCAAGCCGCACCTCCCACAGCGGTTCTGGCACAGGGACTCTCCAAGGCTCTGCCAGGCCAGTCTGCTTCCTCTCTCCCACCTTCACAGGTGGTCAATTTATCTGCAGCAGGAAGGCTCTCCCTATCTTCTGTTCCCTCCCTTTATCCCTGATATGTGTTTCTAGCAATAGGTCACTCAATCTCATGCCTATGGTGTGCTTCTCAATAGGAACAAAGAAAAGGCAGATGGATTCCTGCTCACACTGCAGGGGCAGGTCCAACATCACTGATGTCAGGTCATGGCTCGGGGCCTTCAGGTGAAGCAGCAGCCTATTAAGGAAACTTAAACTTCATTCCCCAGATTGTGAAGCAACCCAAAGAGAAGGTCAGAACCCTGTGAGAAACTCCCAAAAACACTGGCTTCAGGGAACTGGGGTCTAGAACAGGTCAGAGTGTGTGAAGGGTAGGTTGAACAATTTCTGTAAAATGGGGCATTTTGCTGTGAAATGCCATGGTGGTAGCAACTGTTTGTTGGTAAGGAGTAGGTAGAAAAAGCTAAAGCTGGGACAAAGGGAAGGGACCAAAAGGGACATAAAAACCCAGGGAGAATGGTTTGTAGATCAAAGCTTCCTGTGTGGTCACACCCATGGCTCAGTCCCACCAGGTGTCCTGCCCACCGCCCAGGAAGCTGAATACATAGCACCAGCATGGCACCTCCCCCGCATCCGCATTTTCACCCACAGGTAAATTAGTCCCCTACTCTAAAAGACACTTGCCTCACACATGTCTGATTTTTTGGGCCCTGGGCTGCTGGACTCTGCGCTGGCACCTTCTGCTGGGCTGTGAGCGCGGATTCGACTGCTCATCTGAATGCCACCTTCCTCTTCCTCAGCTTGTTCACCCTGGCTGGGGCTGTCCCCATTCCCAGCTCCCTGTGGAAGTGGAGCGTGCAGAACCTCTGTGCAAAAGAGAGTGCGGGGACCGTGGAGCTCACAGAAGTGACATAGAGCGACGATGGCATTCATGGTGCCTTGGAGAGGGCACGAGGCCTGTATTGGGGGAGGGGGAGAGAAACACCACCAGCAGGTCAGCACATGCTCACACCAAGAACCTGTCAACTCCTTTGCAGCACAGGGACTGGGTAGGTGCCATCAATCTGCCCTCCGCCCTGCAGAGGTGAGTCACCCCCCCCCAACCCTGACTAAGCACCTAAATGCCAGCACTGCTTCAGGTACAGGGGCAAAAAAACAGAAATGGTCTCTGCCCACAGAGAGTTACAACAAATGGAGAAGGGAAAATGTAAATCAGTGATCACAGAGAAAGATAAGACAGCCCTCACCTCCTAGGTGAAGGGGGAGACTTTGTCTTGTTAATTACAGTATCCCCAGTGTCTACAACAGCTGATAAATGAATTTAGACAGATGACAGTTGTCACAACAGAAAAGAAAGAGATCATTTTGGGTATCCATGGGCAAGAGAATTTGGGACCACAACTCCTTATAGCTTCTTTAAATAGGGCCCAAAGGGGGCCTCATTAAGTCAGGTGAAAAGTTCCATAGTACCCACTCACACCCATGGTCCCACAATTTCTACCCAGGTCTAGTGTCACAGGAACCAAATAAACTGAATTTAAATAAAGGGTCCACAGGGCTCACCATAGCATGGTCAAGGAAAATGGTGGTTTAAGAACCCATGATGGAGAGCAGGTGAGGTGACCACTAAGGGACTAAGGTGCCACGACCCAAAGTCAAGGTAGAGGTGTTGCCAGAGGTGTTAACTCTAGAAAAGGAGGCCACATCTTCCTCTGAGAGGCATAAAAAGGAAGAGAAATAAGGCTCCTTTTAGCAAGACATCATTTGAAAGCAGCACTTGGACAGTTTCAACCCCATCTACAGAGCATCAGCACAAACCTTTATACTTGACAGAATCACACATGCACCATCCAGACTAAACCAGAGCCTGCAAGGTCATTTCCAAATGAGTTGGGCAGGACAGCAGCAGTCATACTTCAGTTCTAGCACCTGACATTTTCTAGGTAAGGAGAGAAAAATAAAAGTTAATTCTAAAGTCAACGGTCTTTGGGACAAGGGTGGGAAAAAATCAAGCAAATCCTACAATAAACCACAAAACATCACAAAAGAGGATTTGGAATTCCTGGCCTTTTGCCTCTTAATTGGTATCTGAGAGCAATCTTAGCTGAGGTTTTGCACTCGTACCACATTTAATAAAGGAGCTCTTGCAGTATATTTATATTCAAATATCATTGTAAAATACAAAATATTTTAAAATATGAAGACTTCACTATTCCTACTCTTGGTTAAATAGGGCTACCCACATCAAGGCAATTTAACCCTTCAGACTGTAAGCCTAAAGGTTTCTCTCCTCAAATGTGGAGACTAGTGATGATGTTGCCAAGCTATCTCATCATCCAGAATCAACATGGGCTACTCTTATGAATAATTTTTTTAAAGACTTTAAAATTTATTTATGCATACAAGAACTAGGGTACAGGCCAGAGGTTTGGGGGGGGTGGTGGTGAGAGGATTCACCAGAAACAGAGTGGGGAGCAGAACAGGCAGAATAGCTGAAATACACTGCTGAGGGGAGAGGCAGGAGAGGTCTGCTGCGCCATGTGGGTTGCTTCCCCGCTGGCCGGGGATTGCTGCAGTGTTTGCGGATAGCTTCACAGTGCTGTGTCTTAACCCCTTGTGCCACCAGGGAGACCCAATTTTTTTTTTTTTTTTTTTTTTTTTTTTTTTTTTTTTTAATGAAAACTACTCCTGTCTGACAGGAGCTTTGACTACTTGGATCAGAAGTGCCATAGCCCCAGGCCACCACTGGAAAGCAGTGAGGTACCCCAGATACTATCTAGCTCTGGAGTACACACACCTACTGGGTAAAACACAAAGCCTGTCTCCAGTCCTCACAAGCCAGATGATATCAAATATGTTACTTCTCCTTTCTCAGTGCTATCCTAAAGCTAAAAATGGTGACAAACCCCACCTCTCAGAGTCTACAATATGTGGAATCAGAACTCTGGGTAGCTTGAAGTTGGTTCTTTATTCACTCTCCAATTCCAATCTTGACCAGACAGACGTTTGCTGAAAAAACTACTAACAGTTCTTCCTTTCCAATAAGCATTTTGGAATACAAGGAAGCAGCAGAAATCTTCCCTGGCCTGACAATCTCTTCAACATTATACTCAAAACAAGTCAAATATCTTGAAAAGGTAGGGTCCTTGTCCACATCCCCCATCACAGGGGCTGAGCCTTTGTGCCTGAAGAGTAATACCAGAATGAGTATCTCCCACCATGGCGTGTCCAAGCTGATTTAATTTCATCCCTACTTCCTGCGGTCCCCTCATAGGACTGAGAGGGTTAAAAAGCACTTTGCAAATAGTTATAATGACTCTTAACCAATGGTATCTGCATCTCCTTACAGCATCTTTAAAGCACGTCCCAAAGGGGAGCCTCATTAAATCAGGTGAAAAGTCCCACAGCACCCACTAACATCCATGGCCCTACAACTTCTACTGACCTCACCTGGATTTCTATTTATAGAGCTCCCTGATGCTTGACAGAAGGAAAACAAACAGTGTCACATGACATGATTACTCAATCACTTGATGACAACGTTGACAATCCAGTGCCTGCAGCACTTTCTCTGCTGTGACATGGAATCTCTCCTGTCACTCTGGCTGGACACCCTGGGTGATGCCAGCAGTCCAAGGGCTGGAGAAGCAGTACCTTTCAGCTTGCTCCTCCCTGCTCTCTGCCCCAATAGTTGTTGAAGGCCGCCTTGGACCTCAGTCCACAATGAGGCAATCCCTGGACCAAATATTCTTTCCAGATGCTAAGGATACATTTGACAGCACCTACAAAACTAAGAAATGTGGTCTCCTTCCACCCTCCCTGCAGGTCACTGATCTAGCTTTACCAGCTTATCAGAGCGCTCTCTTCAGAACACCAGCCTGGGAGAAAGGGAATTATCACACACACACCCTCTCCCTTACACCAGAGGTGAGGGAAATAACAAGTAGGGGGGCAGGCAAAATTAAAGAGTAAATCAATGAGGCTGACAGGGGCTCTGAACCCAGGTCAAGCTCCTCAGCCCTTCAGAGTTCATGGATTTGTCCCCAACTCCAGTCAAATCCCACCCTCCTAACACATGCAGGTGCTCAGCACCCCCTTCCACTCTGGCAGCTACCCGCGATCTCACACCGACTCAAAGTCCAGTGGGGAGGCCCCAGCTAACCCCCAGGGCGTCAGACTCTCCGCCCGGCTCCTTCCCCGCCCCCTCGCCCCCAAGCCAGCCGCGGGACTCCCTCGCGCCCACCCCCTCCCCGTCCTTCCTCAGCGCCTCCTCCCGGAACCCAGGTTCTCATCACACCTCCACCGAGGACCCCGGTTCGAGTCCCAGCCCCGCTCAATTGGACCCGGCTCGGGGCTTCGGTTCCGCAGCGGGAAGTGCGGCCCCAGCGGAGCCGAATCCCGACGAGGGGTGAAACCCCCGGCCGGCGACCCGCGCCGGGCGCCGCTACCCACCTGACAGCGCGCCGTCCTCACAGCGGCCGCCCGGCGCCCCCGCTCGTGCTCGTCGGCCCGCCGGGCGCCCCAGCGGCCGGCCCCTCCGACTCCCGGGCCCCACCCGCGACAGGGCAGCCCCGGCTCGGCCCCCCGCCCGGCCGCGGTCCCACTCTCCGGCGGGTCCCGGCGCCGAGCCCGAGGCGCGTGACTCTGCCGGGCCGTCCCACCCCCGCCCGCGGAGGGGCGCCGGGCGTGCGAGCGCCGTCTGCACGTCGCGGCGAGCGGGGCCTCCCAGCTGCCGGCACACCCGGGAAGGCCGTGCGGGCCCCGCACCTCTCAGCGCCGCGGGCCGCGAGGTGGAGCGGCTCGGGGCCCCCCGCCGCCGCCGCCCCCGCTCCGCGCTCCCCCGCCCAGAAGCGCAGGATGGTTCACGCCACACCGGCCGGGCCTGCTGGACGAGACCATCGCGAGGGCCGGGGGTGGCGCCGACGGCCAAGGACCACGTCTAAAAGAGACGCGGGAAGCAGGGGCCGCCGAGGGCGCCGCAACCGGCGGAGAAGGAAGCGAAGGCCTCGGCCTCATGCCGCGCGCTGTGGCTTCTGTGGGTCTCACCGCCGGGCTTGGCTCCAGCGCCGAGGACACCCGGCCTCGGTGGGCCGGGCGGCCGGGCGGAGGCGGTCACGCGGGAGCAGCGCCCAGCTGGGGGGGCGGGTCCCGGGGTCCCCGCTCGCGGAGCGGCGGGCTGGGGGCGCCGGCGGGTGTCCCCCTCGTCCTCGCCCTCCCGCTCGCCCCGGCAGTCCAGTCAGGGCTTCTAGACTCTAGAGATAACTGTTGAGTGACAGCTTGAAACAGACAAAACAAACTTGGCCGCCCGCTCGTCTGGCCCCTCGCGCTCAAAGTGGACGCTCGGCCGCGAGCTGGAGCGCGGGTCCTTCCCGCGAGCGGCGGGAGGGGAGCGAGGGGCAACCCCCGACCCGCCGCCGGTCTGCGCGGCCGCGCGCCGAGGAGCTGCCGCGGGCTCGGGCCGCCGGCCGGGCGGGGGCTCTTCGCTGCCGGGCCTGGCCGCGGCGGCCGCGCTCGGGGCGGGGGGACGGCGGGGTTGGGGGGAGCCTCAGCCAGCACGTGTGCGCTTGTGTTTTATAAAATCAGGGTCACTTGCTTTGATTGTCCGCGTCATGCTGAAAAGTGGACATGAGAAAAGAAGGAAATTGCAATTTGTTTTCTGCCTCCTTTTGCTAGTGTGGTAAAAAGGGGAGTAGGGGGCGGAGTGAGGTGGTTGGCACTGCCTTTGTTTATTCTTTCCATTCCAATTCCTCTTGCCGCTGGACAGCATAAACCGCCCTTTGCTGCTGTTCAGATTTAGGTGTCATAGTATTTTCTTTTTTTAAAAAAAAGATGATTTATGTATTTATGTATATAAAGAACTGGGGTGTAGGTCAGAGGTGTGGGGGTAGGAGGTGTTGAGAGGATTCAGCAGAGACAGAGTGGGGAGCAGAACAGGCGGATCTACTGAAATACACTGCTGAGGGGAGCAGCAGGCGAGACAGAAGAAGTCTGCTGCACCATGTGGGTTGCTCCCTGGGTGGGGATTGAAATGTTGCAGTGGCCAGCAATAGCATGATAGCGCTGTCTTTAACCCCTGTGCCACCAGGGAGGCCCTGTCATAGTATTTTCTTCTGAAACTTGACTGTCATTTCAGGTTGCCATCCAGAAATGTAGAACTTATAAACCCAAACTGCATTTTTGAAAAGTAACAGTGAGGGAGTTAGAATATAATTTGACTGTAGGCACAGAGGAAGGAACTTGAACCAGACAGGTTTACCAATAAACACACATAAAAACCTACCACTTAACTTTCCTCTTTCCCAATTTATTTGCTAGAAAAGTGTTTGTCCCTGATTAGAATGTACAGGCATTATTCTGTTACTAAAGCTAGTTGGTATTCTTTGACGGTAATGTCTATTACCTCATTTGGCTGGCATTTTGACTTACCAAAGATGTCATAGAGGGCAGAAAAATTTCAGTGTTTCATTGCCCATTTTTACCATTCTTTGGTTTAGAAAACACCTACTGTCATTTCAACATTCAACCAAATGTTTCCTCAAAGAATATCTTATATCAGTATATCCCAAATTGGAGACCTCTCAGAGCAACCACACTCATCTAAGCAAGCTTATATTAAAGTTGAACATTATCCCTTTAGGGGCTTCACTTGGCACCAATACAAACATATTATCCAAGTACTGAATTCTGAGAGCAATGATTCTGTGCATTAATCCAGAGTATTAACACTTGCAGTTATCATGAAAAAAAAAACTTGAAAAGTCCTCAGACAGCTTTTAGATTCACTAATGACACTAGCCTGTTTGGACCACAGAAACTGCCCTAATACCAGGATGCAAAGTTGCCATCTTCTGACACCATCAAAAATACTGCAGGGGGCCTCCCCTGGTGGCGCAGGCAGTTGAGCGCAGCGCTGTGGAACTGTCCGCAGCCTCTGCAGCGCCAGTTCAATCCCAGCTGGCCAGGGAGATTCCCCCATGGTGCGGCAGACCTCTCCTGTCTTGGCCGCTGCTCCCCTCAGCAGTGTATTTTCATCAGTCTGCCTGTTCTGTTCCCCGCGCTGTCTCTGGTGATTCCTCTCACCCTCCCACGAATCTGGTCTATACCCCGGTTCTTGTATAAATAAATAAATAAGTCTTAAAATACTGAAGGGCCTCCCCGGTGGCGCAGCGGTTGTGCGCTGGGTTGCGAAGCTGCCCGCGGCCTCTGCGGCGCCGGTTCGATCCCCGGCTGCTCCCCGGCCACCGGAGGAGGGTCCCACATGGCGCGCAGACCTCTCCTGCCGCCCGCTGCTCCCCTCAGCAGTGTACTTCGGTCCTTCTGCCTGCTCTGCTCCCTGCTCTGGCTCTGGCGAATTCTCTCACCCTCCCGCGCTTCTGACTGTACCCAGTGCATGTATAAACAAAACAAACAAACAAATAAATAAATCATAAATAAAAAAAATACATGCCTCTTAAAAAAAAAAAATACTGAAGGTATTCAGAACATTTCTTCAGAGGATGCTGGGCCTAAAGTGCCTAGTCAAATCAAGTGCTTTTACTCCCCTGGCCAGGTTACAGACCCCTCACAAGTGTTTGAGGGTGGGGTGAGCCAGGCCCTACTTCCTTTTCCATCCCTCTGTATTTGCTTCTATTTTCCACTCTTAATCCCGGCCAAGGGAGATCGTCCATACCGAAAACAATTTTTGCTCATAATATATTCACAAAGTAATTTGCTGCTAAGAAAAATGCTAAGGCTATCTTAACTATGCAAACAGATTCAGCAGACTATTCAGCACATAGGTGGTGATAACTATTCAAAAACAAGACACAGGTATAACCAGGCACCATGTCTCTCAGAGGCAGCAGTGAGTCTTGTATTTCCTTCTTAGTAATAACAAAGGACATTCATCTGGAGCCAAGATTTTCAAAAGTAACTCCTGTCAAGAGAGATGTTTCTGTTTGTATAGAATGAAGAAAAGCTTCATTATCAGGCACTGAAGGAAAAAAAGTTCTGCCCAGGTAGTAACCTCAGGAAGCAGATACCACCCTTAGGGCATCAGGAACAACGGGAAGATTGAGATTAGAATTTAGTAGGCTAGAGACCTGTTTGGGAAGAAGAGGGTGTTGGGCTCTGTGGCTAATTCTAGAAAGATGGGAGACAACCTGCTCACTGCAGCTGCTGGAACCATCCTTGTCAGGGTGAAGTTGTTCAACAGGAAGCAGTCAGCATGGAGCCTTTTTCCTCCCTAGCTTTCTGGTCTGCCTCCTTCCCCCTGCCTGCCCCGCCCTGCCCCCCTCCTCCCAAATAATAACCCACAATCAAAGTAGAGTTCATAAAGATGGGTATAAAGCTGAGGCACAATCATGATCAGTGCTCCACCAATCCTCTATACATAAAGTTTTATTGGAACATGGCCATACTCATTCATTTATGGCTTGTGACTGCTTTCCTGGGGCAAAATTGGTACTCGCACAGGCCAGTGACTAGGAGAGCCTCTCTACTAGGGGCAACTTTGTAATTGACTCCTGAGATTTCAGGGTTTCTTTTTGTAAATAATGAAAAGGTGGCTGACTAACAACCAGACACACTGAAGTGACTGTTACTAGTGAGAAACACTTAAAGGCCCAAAATTGATGTGGTTTAATCTGACCTACTTCACAAAGGCCCTTCACCATTCTTGGGCTAGATCAGTGAGTCCTGATCAACACACTTCAGAGTTCTGAGGGACCCTGAATAATCAAGACAACTGTGCAGTTGAACTAAACATGTTTCTAAAAGAAAAATCTGCAAAGTCTGGCATCTATCTCATAAAAAGCCATTCTCACCAGGAAGGTAGCACTACCAAAGATTAAAGAGCTTAACAGCATCTCTTTAACCCATAATTCTAAACATGTTGATTCTACTTATTAAGAATCAGCTTCTGCCTTATGGATGCTCCCAGCTTTTTTATAATTATTGAGGCAACTGATATCAAGTCTAGATTCAAATTTTCCAAAAATTCCTAAAATTGATTTTTGTTCACAGTGGATGTATTCTTTTAAAATCTTTTTGTAGGGTTGAAGTGATACAGAAGACACATCAATTTTCAAGTAGTTTAAAACAAAAATGTAGATTTAATGCAGTAACAACATTAATCTGAGGATAAATAAATCCACAACAGATTTTAAAGTTTAAATTTTTTTTTCCTTTCTTTGCAGAGAGAATGGTTTTCTGAAAGCACATAGGACTGAAGATGTCAAAACAAAACAAGATGTAATGTCTTAATGTCCAGGTGAAACAGGCGTGGTCCTCCCTGCTGCCCTCCTAACTCTTGTCACTGGCCATGGTGATAGCTTCTTTAGTTTCACTCAGGATGGAGGTCATTTTCAAGAGTAACTGGATGGTTTGTTTCCTGAATCATCTTCTTGTGATCCCATGCTCTGTAAAGGCGAAAGTGAGGTAGTGTATTTTGTTTGCCTTTGTCGAGGGTTCCCCATCAGACCCCAACAAGCACTCCTAGTCCCTCCCAGAGGCAGGCATTAGGTATACAATGAA